AATTATCGATGATTATCCTATCATGATTCGATACAATATCGGAAGATTATCGGTGCGTGAAAATAATTCGTCGGCTTTGTATATAATGTAATATCATTGATAAATAATAGATATAGATTACATTTACATTAGAATATACACATGTAGATTATAATTATAATCGTACAACATATCGATTATTAATAATGTTCTAAAAAAAATCACCGAGCCAACGGTCATTTATTTTTCATTATCCGGTATCTGAACGAGAATATAAAAGAATAAAAAAAATACGGAAAATCGCATTAAGACGAGAAGCGAGAGAGAGAGAAGAAAGGAGTGGACGAGTGGACGCCAAACTTTCTTCGTTAACGTTGAACAAATTATCGTCGAGGCAAGACGGAGCCAAGGTAACTCGCGAGAAGACACGACGAAAGACAAGATGAATAAGACAAACAAAACAGAGGTAGAGATAACATTACACAGAGATCGACGGTTGATTTAAATTCGTGGTTCTGTATTTCTGATGCCGAATCAACACTTTATTATTCTGCATTCTATAACGTTCTCTCCACCTTTTATCTTAATGTTTATACCGAAACTTTGTTTCTCGCCTGAGAATTATTGAGGGAATCAAAAAAGGACCAAGTTGCGTACCAGGGAGATAGAAAGACAACGGAACAATGACATTAGTGTTCGTAATTGTTGTATGATCGAGCACACATCGATTTTATTTATTTTTTCAATTTTATTGAAGAATCTTGTATGATAAATGTGTTGAGAAAAGTTTCGAGTAATTTTGTTCTTGAAAAAAATGTTCTTAACTTTCGAAAGATTATATTTATCGAGAAAGTGAGTTTATACATTTAACTAACAATAAGTAAAGCTATTTTTAAAAGTTTCACATTTTTACAAATGATTCTTGTCATTTTATGATGATTAGAAAGTCAATGACATTAGTGTTCTTAATTGTATGGCTGAGGAAACGTATCGAAATTTATGCGATGATTTCTATCGATTTTTTCCTTTCATTTTGTATTAAAGAATCTTGTATGCTAAATGAGTTGAGAAAAGTTTCCAGTAATTACCTATCTTTGAAAAAAAATGTTCTTTCGAAATTACACATTTAACTAAGTATAAGGCTATTTTCAAAAGTTTCAAATCTTTACAAATATTTCTTGTCATTTTACGATGGTTAGAAATTCAATGACATTAGTGTTCTTAATATTGTATGGCTGAGGAAACGTATCGAAATTTATGCGATGATTTCTATCGATTTTTTCTTTCATTTTGTATTAAAGAATCTTGTATGCTAAATGAGTTGAGAAAAGTTTCTAGTAACTACCTATTCTTAAAAAAAATGTTCTTTCGAAATTACACATTTAACTAAGTATAAGGCTATTTTCAAAAGTTTCAAATCTTTACAAATGTCTCTTGTCATTTTACGATGGTTAGAGATTCAATTAACGTTATTGCGGCAATAGTTTCCGTTAAAACTGCAGCAATCGGAGCCGAAACGGCCGTTTGTCGCAACGCTTTTAAAAGCGAACGGGCAGCAATTAGACGGACAGGTCGTAAACGTGTATCGCACGACCGTGTCATTCACCGACTTACCTGCGTCCTCGTTAAGCTCGCAGACGGGTTAATGATTCAACAGGTGTTGCGCGTCGGGACGAGCAAGTTCGGCGGCGGCGCTTTTTTGTTCGAAACACATTGAAAGGACCACAAGAGACGTAGCCGATACGAAAACGCTCGCGGGTCTGCAATGGCGAATGTTCTGAAAGGCCTCTGAATAGCCGAATAGTCTCTCACGAAGCCGAACAGACACGAATTTCTCATCGGGGCACATAACATTTTTGGCCGTCTCTCAAAAACACTCGGGATTAGACGGTGGAAGAACGACTGTTCGAAACAACAATACTTATGTCAAATATAGTTGTACAGAGTGTGTATTTTGACTTGAAAAAATCAATAAATCACGAAATAAATAGCAAATAATAAATCATAGAAACATAAAAGATCGTAATTATGTTTAAAATATATAAAAATTCACTTTTTCTGCATATTTCTTTCAAGTAAATAAATAAACATTATTTCTTAGATTATATATACGTGTGCGAGAGGCAACAGCTTTTCCTAAACATTTTGCCTTTGGCAATATGATTTACATCTCTTTTTACGTCTTCGCATTCACTTATTTATCGCTCCTGGATATTGCTTTTGTCTCGCGTCTAAAATCGCGTTTGGAACGCAGCTGCAAAGTTAAATACGCGACAGTAAAATGCAGCAGCAAATTAAGGTTGAAACATGTGTCTGTGTATACGCGTTTGCGGCGTCTAACGTGTCCTTTTTAATGCTCGTGTATCCGAGACGCGCGAGATAATTTAAATTCAATGTAGCCGGTGCCAGCTCGCAAATCGCATACCTCTCTCTACTTCTCTCTCTCCCACTTGCCCTCTTTTTCCCGTCATCGCAACCGTTGCGGATGCATCGCTTTGCGGCACGATGCACGGCGCACGTAACTGAAAGATATATGGATTTGTTATTTATTTATTCGGTCCCGACCTCTCTCGCGTGTATACATATCACGCACTCTCTCTCTCTCTCTCCGACATCTGCAACTCTCTCATTCGAACGATTGCCGACCGCATATTATAAATATATGTCACGCAAAACGCGCAATTCTAATGAGTTTTATTTATAATTTCGATTAGCACGAGGCTCTATTGTTGTTAATAATAATCGGGCGCCACTATAGTCGGCGCGATTAATCCGTCCGCGTATATCGATTATGCATGATAACGCGACGCACGAGAACGGCAAACGGAATTGCGACGTTACGTGACGTTAATAAGCATTTAAGCGGCATTAATGGACTATGAAAGAACGATGCGCGTTCCGACGAGAGAGAGAGAGAGAGAGATTAACGCTTCGAATTTGAATCCCAATACAACGTTGTTTAAAAAAAATGTTTCGTCGAATGAATAATTCAATAAGAATTTTTCCGAGCTTTATCGCGCCCATAATTGTCTCATCCTTGTGACCGTCGTTGAATCATCACCGTGGTAAAAAAAAAAAAAACTCGTTTGAACGTGCGCGCACTTGATTTGAAAATTTGTGTTTTCTTGTTAAAAACGGTCCCCGTTAAAATTTTTGTGTTAAATATTTAACACATTCATGGGTTAATTTAACATATTACCGTTGTGTCAATTGAACTTAAATGTTGAATTAGTAAAACAACTGAAAAAAGTGTAAAGATAGCACAATGTATATCTATTTTGAATTTGCACAATAAATACGTTCCGTTTCATTAGTGACAAGATTTATTTAGTAAAATTCTGTTACAACAAAATGATTTTTTATTTTATAATGATGTAATGAGAATAATAAAATCTAAAATAAAATTAACATATTTTTATTTAATTTTTTACATTAATACTATGTAAATTTTACACAAAACTTCTTTTAAATTACTTGAAGTTTGGCATTAATTTTATTATGTAAAAATATTAACGTAGCATTCGTATCTTCATTTAACATATTCGTACATTATGTTAAGTTAACTTAAAAATGTTTGTGGACCGTTTGGGATCTGTGAGATATCTGTTAAATTTAACAGAAATTTTTCAACTCAAATAAATCGACGTAGTAGACTGCTCAAGCCGTCAAGTATTACTATAAAGAACCCGCGAGAAAATCGCAGCGCACGGAGGAGGGTAAGAAAAGGGAGGATGAAGTACCTTTTGTTCGTGTATTTGCGAAAACCGCTCGTGTACACATCGCACCCGCACCAAGTATGTCGCGTATATACCCAATGTAACCGCGGCTGTATTTACTTTCCACCGTTCGCGTGACATTCGCAAAGTTCAACGCGAATTAAATATAAGTTACGCGCATCATCGCTTGCACCCCGAGCAAGAAATTAACCCGCAAGTAGTCCGCGTTACAATCCGTAGATATAATATCACGTGACTGTCATTAGTGATTAACAACTGTCATTAGTAATGATGAACGACTGTAGTCATTAGTATAACGATGCGATGTACAAAGCTTCCAGTTGAAATTTCTTGTTAATTATGGTTGACATTTGCGCGCGAGAAATATATATATATATACATAACATTAAATATATATCTCATGTTTAATTATATGTATATTAATAATTAAATATAATTATATATATATATATGTAGTCTTATCTCGATATTTAAATACTCACATGTTCACGACATTTCAAAGATATGCAAATCATAATTGTATAGTAGTTTATTTTATAAATTTTAGAATAAAATAACAGAGCAGAGAGAAACAGCGAATATATACAGCAATGATCCTACTCCTAATACTTTTGCTTTATATTCCGACGTGATGCTGCGAGTTGAACTGACTTGCGCATTGCGGCACACACTAATCGGCGCGAAAGAGCAAATTATCAATGGAGCCTGCACGAAAGTGTGTTAAACGATTGCGCAAAGTGCAAATCACGCCGTTCGCGCAGTCACGGAGCCGTTTCCGATCGCATTCAATCGGTAACAAGGTCATTGGCTCTCAGCGCGAGACAAGCGTAATTGCGTCAAGCTGTTGCGGGGCCTGAATTTTTTAACACCGTTCAAACTCGAACGAACTCGATATACGAGCGGCGAATATCGCATGAAACGAAACCTCGACGAGACGAATTAACGTTCCGGCCGCTAAGCGGAAATTAATCGTTGTGTGCCGGTAAAACGCGACGCAGCGGACAGAGTTATGCAAATAAGCTGCTGCGTGTATGTATATGCGGAGTTAATCTGTCAAGTTAAACGCGAAATTCCCGGTTTGCCGCTAAATTAGACATTCGAAACGAAAAAAACATAGCGGAAAGCATATTATTATTTATACGACGCGAAAGAAGAAAAATTAATATTATAGAGGTATAATAATCGTATATAATTATTTATCGACAGTCTAATTTGTGTCAATAACGTTTTTATATTGTTCCGATCGACATTGAGATATATATATAATTGCGTTTGCTTACTCACATATATATTCCCATTCGATCCTTATTCCCGAGACCTTCTATTCTCCGAATGATGCGAAAGATCGTCTCGGTTATTGCAGCTCCGTTTCCGGCTTTCGCGGATTCCTTTGGGGTAGATTCCACCAACCTGGAAATAAAGAAAACGTATATTTTTATAAAAGAGTTCTCGCACGACCAGGTAATTCGCGTGCTAACGACAGTTATCGTTATCGCGATACTTCCAAGCCAAGACAAACTTTGCCGAGCGGAAGTATCAGAAGAGACGAGAAAGATATCCCGGTTTCCTCGAAACAACAATCGGTCGGTCGATCGAGGTTATCGTTCTCGACTGTTTCTCGCATAACGATGATGCATAAAAAAATACGGATAAAAGCATGAAGGGAGAAAGATGGAAGACTAATTCAAAAATGCACGCAACAGGAGAGAAAATAATTTATACAGAAAATTTATAAAATAATTACGCTATCGCAATATTGATGTATATAATCATATATATCGAAACAATTTAAAAATTTACAACTTAATTCCCAAATATTTTATTACATTCTTATATAATAATTTAATTATGCAACATACATATATTATTGTTAGATAAAAAATTTGATCACTTATAATAATTTTTGAACTTTGATTACACTCGTTATAATGAATTTTCATAATATAATATTTTAATTTCTCGTATATATGTATAGTGTCGCTGCGGTTCACGAGAATAAACAGCAAAATTAATGCGAATCGCTCTGCGCATTCTTTCGTGTTAACGAAAGAAGTTATAGAAGCGAAGAAAAATGTTTGCCAAGAGTGCGGTCGTTGATCACATCCGAACCAGCAGCGGGTACGATCGATTTATTACGGAATTACATCGCAACAAAAAGAATCGGTCGAGTCCGATGCAAGACGAGCTGGTTCGGCGGTTTCTCTCCCTTTCCGTTGGAAAGAACGGAGAGTATAAAGCGATAAGGGGCTAATATAAGTGAAAATCCCGGTGTTAATATGTGGCGCGGAGAACCGAGCAAGAAGAATACTTAATGGCCGGCCAACACGCGATCCCCTTCCCGAGTTTTTTCCCTTTATTTTCTCCTTTTTCTCCGGTTTCTCTCTCTCTCTCTCTCTCCACGTCTGTGCTTCTCTCCTCCTCCCGTTTTCACCCAGTTACCGTGATCCACCGCGTTCGAAATTCATGAGCGTAGAAAATGAACAGCGAGAATAGCGGAATAAAAGTGCCTGGACATGCTCGGAATATATATGAAACAATGCCAGGTGTTCTTTACATGCGCCATATATATTCGCGCACGTGCATATACGTATATATGCAAAGTGTTTCTTAATCAAGACCGATTTTTAAAATGCGTGTCTAAGAATCGCAACAAAAATATTAATCTGTCTCGTAAGGAGGATGCTTCGTCGATTGTACATAGAATTTCTGAAAACGAGCCGCTATTAACTTCACGCAGAAGTAAATTTGTCGCTGGAAGCAAATTAATTATAGAGCACGCGATATATATCGTCCATATTTTGCATAATACACTTTACGCGTTTCTTGATTATTCGTCCCGCGCGCGCAAGTTTCCCTCCCGACTCGCAGTTTTAGAACAAAGTTGCGAATTACTCTTCGCGCCTCTCTCTCTCTCTCTCTATACCGATAGTAGCTGGTTTATATTGCAGGCTCTATTCTCTCGCGATCGCGTAGCCGGTCGGCGGAGGCGGCCACGCCTCGATTTCATTCACAGCAGCAAACTCACGCTCAATTATTCATGCGGAAACTACCCGTTTGCCTTCTTCTCTTACCCGATTGGATTTAAGTCGCGGAAAACGACGCGGCGGCGTACAATCGCGCGGAAATGAATATCTCGTCAAATCAGTCTTTCGTATCTTTCATTCGTACACAGGGAGAATTTTCTATTTGAATTTACCTTGAAAATCATGCTAATCGTGGGGCAATATAGTATCAAAATATTATACACAGTACAAAATATATTAATATCTATCGCAATAAGATATATATAAAATACGTTCGATTAACTTTACTATATTTTTATTGGAATAAATATTAATCAGAGAAACTCTTATAAAAGTCTTCCAATACTATATTGGAATACTATATAAGGTAAGAAAAAAAGCAGAAATTAATAGATATCTAAACTAGAGATATAATATATTTCTAATACAAATTTAATGAATATCAAATAAAGAAATATACAATTTAAAAAAGAAGAAATTTCTTCCGAGAGCACTAAACATCAGAGAAAATTAAATGATCGCGATAGACCGGATGCTCGGAGAATAATTGCAGAGTCTTTCTCTTTCTCTCTCTCGCTCGCTCTCCGAGCACGGAAAGGAAAGCCGAGCACGCCGCTATATGCACCGATATCGTTTCAGCGCCGCGAAACTGGGACGGGGTTTTACGGACGGTTATTTACGATCGAGGTTATGAGAAAGGCGGGGACCGCACAGTTCCTCCGCGAAATCTGCGAAAGGCCCGGCGAATGCAAATTACGCGAATTATGTTGCCCGCAAACTCGCAGATCGGATAATAATCGACGTCGCGCTCGAACCGAACTTGACTTGCTTCTCCCCATGTGCGAATGTCGGACTTCTGCCAGAGTTGTCAACATGGCCCAGAAATGGCACAATATTGGCTGCCAAGACTTGATAGGTGGTACTGTCCCAGTATACGGATAAACCACCAGATGAATACAGTCTCGGTAATTGGTACTGTACCAATACTCCCATGCAATCATATTTTGTTCCGAGCCGAGTCTCGTCTCAGTACTGATCGTGTATAAGGCCGAAAATGGTATTAATCGATGGCCGAGAATCATCTCAGTACTGGGCATGTATTGAGTCGACTCGTATCGGATTACCGGGAAGCAAGCAACTTTGTCTGCAGCACGAGTATCGGTTCAAGTATACTGGAAGAAAATTGGGCCAATAATGTACCGTACTGACACAAAATATTTTCTATACCGAGCCAAATATCGTATTAGTACTGGGTGTGCACTGGGGGCGAGACGTGAAATAGTACTGAGATGATAAAAGTTATGTTGGATAAAATCGTATATATTGGATCAGCACTGGGGATACATTGGGCCATACGTTGGTGTATGACAACAAATATTTTTATTTTGAAACATTAATTTATAATGATTTTAAACATATCGGTTATTCTAATGTTAGATTTGGCCCAATACTGATAATGAATGTTGTCCCAGTATTAATACTCTGTGTTGGGCCAAAGTTGGCGCCGAGACTGGGACCCGTGTTATCATTCCGACATTGTCCCAGTAATGACCCCGATCTCAACTTAGGTATACTGGCCCAGAACGTCAGCCAGTACTGGCGACTCTGGCACCAGTATTGAGCCAGTACTGAGCCTTTTTGAGATTCGCACATGGGTCTCTATCGCGAATATCCCAAGAAAACGGAATCGCAAGCTTCGAATCTTGTAATGTAATTTATAATAATTAGCTGAAAAAATATACAAAAAACATAAATCAAGCGTAATGTCGTGCATATGAGATTAAATAAAGATTCGATCGAATAGTGGAGATTGCGCGTCCACCACAAAAAAAAACCCTGATTGATAATGCAATCGTTGATTCGCGGTTACACGACACGCCCCGGAGATATTGGAAACAAAATACATCGGTTTGATTACCGCGTCGACCAAATTGGTGGAAATGTCGGATCGCTTGACGGCAGCGGAATGCATCCATCGGTGATGCATCCATCGGCGCATGTCAAATTTGAATCGCGTATGGCGTATACTGTCAGCAAACGGTGCATAACGTATACATACAGTGCAATATGCAGCGCAATAATCATTTTGATTCTAACAATAGAGGCCGGGAACAGTTAATACACGACTGTATATTAATATATAATACTGATTAATACTTATCACAATAAAAAATATTAATATGTATATACATAGTAAAATTAACCGAACATATTTTATATCTTATTGTGACAGATATTAATATTTTTTATGTGGTAAATATTAATCAGAGAAGCTCTAATAAAATTTTCCAATACCATATATATTATTGTCTCATAATTACCATGATTTTCAGAGTAAATTCTATAAGAGAAAATTCTGTCTCTGCACTGGATAAAATCTCGTTGCATCAACAAAAACTCTGTTCGAAAATAGACGGAACAGAATTACTTCCTGGTTGAATCTACCAGAATTTCTTTTAATGCAAGCATCTTGTTTTCACAACAAATCAGTTGTATATAACTGTTGTATAATATAATAAACCTTAACAACATCGTAAATATTGTGGTAGTCCAGATTGCGATTCGCGAAACGAAATCGGAACGTATTCGTTCGAGATACAACGAAAGCACCGTCACTTTGAGCGAAGCGGAGCAATCGATCGTCTAGGGATTCCGCGGCGACCGGGTCAGCGACCTCAAAATGTAATCTTCAAAGGAGTTCAAGGTCGGAACGCAGAGACTCGCACAATGAGTAGTAATGCATTCCATTGTCGTTCGAATGAATCTGCGCGCCGATTCTAACGGAAATGACAGATGGCGAAAGTGAGGCTCGTCGCTCGACATCGGAAATCGATTTGACGAGATCGCGAGATTACGTGACTAATGGCGACTGGTCGAGACCAATCCTCTTCGCCCGCGGCGGAAAAACTCGTCGGCAATCGTGCCGTACAATTAAAGCGTCTCTTAATTAATGCCGCTATTATCGCATTAAATTAATCGACGCGAAATATACGTTAAAACGTGTCGATAATAAAATATAACCGACCAACGCACTAACACATCGAGATTTTAATGATTCGAATTCAAATTTTGTTCGATGCTGATGATAATAATAATAATATAAGCTACCGAATTTAGAATCATGCTGCAAATGATTTTTCGCGAATCAAGTTATCCAACGCGAATACAGACGTAACAAATATATATCTATGACACGAATGAATAGCGAGCTCTGACGCGTATATAAATAAATTACATATAATCGCAAATTGAAACGAACGTACACACAACGCACAATAACATGCGGCGTCGTATAATTATCGCGTTACCGTGTTATAATAGAATGCGCTTATCCCCGTAAACAATAATACACAGCGCATGCTGATAATCACCGCGCGAACCGCAAAA